GTGAGAATCCCATCCACTCCGGTCTTGTGCTTGGGGAACGGGCCGGTAATGTCCATGGCAATCGCTTCCCTTCGCCTCAACGGGACTGGCAATGGTCGTAACTCGCCCTACGGACGATGGTTGCGGGATTTGCAGCGTCGACAAACCTCGCAAGACGCGCAATAGCGCGTGACGTCGCTGAGAAGGCCAGGCCACCAAAATCGCTGGCGAAGTCGGCCAATCGTGCGATTGACCCCGAAGTGTCCGGTGGCGGGAGCATCGTGGAACTCGCCAAGAAGCCGTGTACGCAAGTGAGGATCACTCGGTACGCAAAGAAGGTCCTTCCCCCGCGTGTGGACAAGCAAGTACCCCTCTTGGATCCGGTAGTGAGAAGGCGCCGGATTAGGAGAGGAGCAATTCGCGTACTTGTCGCGAAACTCGAGGTCGACTTGGTAGCCGCGGATGAAGCTGTTCCGCAAGTCGTCGTCAATCTCGAAGGTCGAGTAGACTGCGGCACAATGACCGGACGCCGTGAGAGAGCATCCGCAAAACGGTTYGACTTCCCGGGAATGTGATCGGGAAAGAAGTCGAAGTGGTCGATGAAAGCCATCCATCGAGCGATGGTGCTGTTGACGGTGTCTTGGGTCTTGTAGAAGACCAACGGATTGTTGTCTGTTACCCATCGAAATTGGCTTCGACCAAGGAGGAAGTGCCGCCACCKCTTGAGCGCGTGGACGAAGGCGAGGAGCTCCTTCTTGCGTGCATCGTCAATGGAATGCACGAGGGGCACTTTCTTGCTGAAGTACTCGACCGGGTGCCAATCCACACCATCATGTTGCTTGAGGACTGCACCAATGCCATAGCCTGACGCATCCGTAGTGACGCGCGTAGGCGCAAGCGGGTCGTATATCCGCAAGACCTCTGCAAACAATAGCGCGGCTTTGAGAGCGAAGAATGATCCTCGCGCCTCCTCTCCGAAGTCAAACGACCGATCCTCGCACTGAAGCTTGTTGAAGTGGGCCGCGATCTTGGAGTAGCCTTTGATGAAGTGTTGATAGTAGCCGGTAAGACCGAGGAACGAGCGGACATCCGTGACGTTCCMAGGCTCCGGCCACTCTTGGACGGCCTGAATCTTGTCCGATAGCGGACTGATGCCCTCCGGTGTGACAAAATGGCCCAAGTATTCCAGCTCTTGCCGAACAAATTCACACTTGTCACGGTTGGCCTTGTACTTGGCGTGGCGGAGCGTCTCCAACACTTGTCGAAGATGCCCCAGATGATCCTCCAATGACCGACTATAGACGAGAATATCGTCTAAGTAGACCAGCACGAACCGGTTCAACATTGCACGGAACTCATTGGTCATCGCCGCAGGAAGGTCGCCGGGGCGTTGGTGAGGCCAAAAGGCATGACCACCCACTCAAAATGCCCGTACTGCGTCTTGAACGCGGTCTTGTAACAATCGTTCGACTTGATCGAGATTTGATGATATCCCGATTTCAAATCCAACTTGGAAAAATACTTCGCACCGCCCAGTCGCTCGAGAAGATCGTCAATGCGAGGGAGAGGCCCCGCATTCTTGACGGTTTGTGCGTTGAGCTTGCGGTAGTCGATACACAATCGTAGATCCTTGTTCTTCTTCCTGACGAAGAGAACTGGTGCTCCGTATGGGGAGCTACTCGGGCGGATCCAGCCCTTGGCCAACAAATCATCGAGTTGTGTGCGGAGGACCTCAAGCTCCTCTTCGCTCATTCGATAGATGCAACCTTTCGGCGGCACAACACCGGCCTCAAGAATGATCTCGTGAGAGATCGGCCGACCCGACACCACACCGGTAGGTGACTCGAAGATGTCGGCGAACTCGTCCAGCAACCGTACCACACGGGGGTCCGAAGACAAGTCCGTGGGTGAAGAGTCGGCTACCGCGACGGTCCGTAGGAGCATAGGCCGATCTCCTCGGGCTGCTCGTAGGCACAAGTCGCCCGGAATGATTTGGCCATTACCACTTGGCACCGGATCGAAGAGTGCGGTAGAGGAACAGTACACGCCACTTCCGCGCCGAAGGCGTCGCGAACGCTAAGAGTCCGCCGATGGAAGTTGACCGTGTGATCCGCACTTGCAAGCCAAGGCATTCCCAGAATGATGTCGAAGTCCGTGTYGAGAATATCGAACGTGACCGGTTCGCATGCATGAGGTGCGAAGTAGACCGGTACGGCCTCGATGTAACGGTCGAGAATTTGCTGCGTCTTATCGTCCGCCAACTTGATCGCCGTCGGGTTTGCCTTCCTCCGAACCTGTGCACCAAGGCCAGCCCTTTGCATAAAGGATTGGCTCATGAAGTTGCGAGTCACGCCGCTATCCAGCAAAGCGCTGCAGGACGCTTGCCCAACCTGAATGCGGACATACATCAGCGGTGCGTTGTTGTCATCGTACCGCTGCGTGCGAAACTCGCGGGCCACCTTGGTAGTATACGCCAAGATGTCCCCCACCGCGACTTCGTCATCCGTCGGCGAAGTTGGTGGTGCATAGAAGGATAGGTAAGATTAGCGCTAAGTGCTGCGCATTGCGGTCCCGGCAATCGGCTGGTGGTCGGGAGAGGAAGCCATGCAAAGTCCTAAGACGTGAGTGGGTCCAATGCCTCTATGTTGAACTCGCGCGCCGAATCCCGTGAAGAACCACTTGAAGACGAACTGTCGCCGTTGCCGGACGGAGAAGAAACCGCACACACTCCTTGTCCTTGAGCTTGAGTACCCAGCGTTGGAACGAGCCGGGCAGCAAAGTCCTCAAAAGAAAGTAGAAGCGGAGGACTATCGACTTCCGCATGCGCCTCGGAATGAAGGCCGGCTACTCGCGAAGAAACTGGTTCCGAAGGCGTCGAGAGTGTCGTCGAGTCACTCTCGACGGTGCTCAGTTTCCCTGTCTGCCCTTGCCTTTCAATGGGCAAGCCTGCGTCTGGTGAAGATCGTTGTTGCACCAAAGGCAATAATGGAATCTCTCGCGCGCCTTGAATGCACACTCGGAGATGCCATACTGGGTCCATGGGCCTGTCTGAGCTGCTGCACCGAGCCCGGGGCTAGATGCGGTGTGTGTCTTCGTCCTGCCGCGTCCTCGGCCTTTGACGGGGCGGCCACCTTCCCGGGCGGCTGCGAGTCTGACTCCTTCACTGGCAGACACAGCCTCGCTGGTTTGGTCTAATGGCGTTGTCGTTGCGACCACGGCCACTCTTGGCCGATGCTGGTCCCTGCTCGGGCCTGACGCAGATGAACGAAGGTTCTTGGCCTCCTTGTTTGTGATAATGATCTGCGCAGCCTTGTCGAACAACTCCGCCGTCGTCGTCAAGGTGTCTTCGACATGCGTCAGGGCATTGCTCAATGCCGGACATGACCTTGAGATGAAGTAATGGCGGATTGCCTTGAAGCCCATCTGGATGTCTGGGACTGACGTCAAGCGTTGGTACTCGGCGATCCAGTCCGTACTCGGCAGCGTGCCTTGCTCAAAGACCATGAGCTTGTCCATGGCTTTGATCTCTGGCGGCTCCACCTGGAACCRCTTGTGCCACGCCGCCTTCAGATCATCCCAACTGATCACGGTGTGCAAGTCCGCAGCTACCACTCCGTACTTGGACAAGAGGTTGTCCAACCAGGCCTGGCACGCGCCCCCTGAGCGAGAGTACAAGTAGGCGTGGTGCTTGTGTTCCTTGACGTTGGACAACTGCAGCGTGAGCTCGAACTTGCGAAACCATGGAATAGGATCTGTCTTCGTTGAGTCGCAGAAGATCTCCTGCCCGTCGAACTTTGGAGTGGTCTCGGGCGGTTCTGTACTCGAAGTGGTGGCGGTAGTGCAGATCCGCTGTTGCAATTGCTGTGTCGCGGTCTGCTGCGATTGTACGCCATCCTTGAGTGCGCCGACGTCCATCTCCAATGCATTGAGGCGGTCGGTCGTGTTGGAAGAGCCTGCGTCTGCGGCGGCGACTGGTCGCTGTTCCAACCGCTGAAGGCGGTCTTGGAGATGAGCTAGCGAGGTGTCGAGGCCAAGGATCTCCTCCTGCTGTGTAATGCTGGTGGCTAGGAGATCCATGAGATGCGAGAGGAGGAGCGCTATCTTGTTGGCGCTGTCCTCCAACTTGCCATCCTCGGCCTCGGTCCGCCATGCCGCTGCCATGGTAAGTAACGCCCGCTCTCCAGTGAATATCTTCTCACGACGCTGTATTCTTTCTTCATCGGCAGCCCTTGCTGCTGCCTCGTCATGCTGGCGCTGACGTGCCTGCTCTGCATCTTCCGCCTTCTTCTTCACTGCTGCTGCAGCGTCATCTGCCCGTTTCTTAGTCTCCACACTCTAGGCCAGCATGCGGGCCTGATAGGCCTCGTCCGCTTCTCCGGGCCTCTGGTCCATGACTGCTGTTTGAGATCTCAACAGCATAGACCGGTCGGGGCCTGCTGATAAGGTATCCCTTGCTGCTGACGTGGCTCTGCTGATGTGTCCTGCTGACGTGGCCTGTTGACGTGTCCTGCTGACGTGGCAACTCACCAATGCCGCCGCAGGGGGTACCGGGATTCAAACAGAAACGGTAAGGCGAGAGATAGCAACAACAT